GTACATTCATTGCCCTCATCATTCCCAAAACATTTGCTCTCCTCTTAAGCCCCTGGCATCAGGTCCTCATTTTTCCCCTCCCTCTCCGCTTCCCCACAAAGATGCATTTCTGAGCTTCTCGCCATTTCTTAGAGCAAGAATAATAACTTCTTTGACAATTGTTCTGGGTTGATTTAAGTTAGGCTTAAATGGGTTAAAGTGAGGGTATCTGACTGCAGTGTGTTCTAAGACTCTGTCCACCTCTAAAACTGAAGCTACACATGGAGTTGCCCAATTTCCCCCCAAGGGGGCAGATGGCAGGTGGCATTTTCACAGACACTGTTGTTTATGTCATAAATGGTGAAGTAGCCTCCTTGGGACCACTCTGTAACTCCAGGCACACCTAGTCCTCTTGTGCTTGCCTTTACTGCTCCCCACAGATATTGTGTGTTATGGAAATTGAAGGTGTGTAGCCACCATGGGTCAAGCAAGCCTCCAACAGCACGGGCTCATGTTGTGCCTCTGTGTCTCAGTTTGGTGATCCTCACAATCCCTCTAGGGTTGTCATCATGCTGTTGCACGCTTAATAGACAGCAATGCAGTGTAACAAAACTCGTACTGGGAAACCACACAGGTCATGTGACTCCCTTTAGTGTACCCTAACTTCATTACCGTGGTCTGTCAGTGAACCTGATACAACTCTGTGGGCTGCCTTAGTTGTCTGACAGGCATTTCAGAGTGCCACCTGTAAGACATCTATGAGAGATTTTTTAAAAATTATTTTTGGAGATGCTCTTACAGCTTTCTTTTTTTTTTTAATGTAAAGTGTATTTATTTAAAAAAAGCAAAAAATAAACGACAAGTCTGTCTTTGTCTATGGCCTTTCCCTGTTCTCTCACCTGAGGGGTGTGGTCTCTTGAGACCACAGCCAGGGCCTGCCCTCGCCCACCCCCCCACCCCCACAACAACAGGAGCAGGGGCCACCACCCAGAGGGAATAATTGTTCTCTGCCCAAGTTAGGCCCCTCAGGAGGCTAGCATGTCAGTGCACCAGGGGCTGGGCTCTCAGAGTGAGCTGGGCTCTTACAGCTTTCATCACAATCCATCCATCCATCCATCCATCCATCCATCCATCCATCCATCCATCCA